AAAAGAAATCAAATCATTCTTAGGTTTATTAGGTTACTACCGTCGTTTCATTCAAGACTTTGCGAAAATTACTAAACCCATGACTCTGTGCCTTAAGAAGAATGCAAAAGTTATTCATAGCCAAAATTTTATTGAAAGTTTCGAAAACTGTAAGAAAATCCTCTGTAACGATCCCATTCTCCAATTCCCGAACTTTGAACGAGACTTCATACTGACTACTGACGCTTCAAACATAGCACTTGGCGCAATTTTATCGCAAGGGACTATAGGACAAGACAAACCGATTGCGTACGCTAGTCGTACTCTTAATGAAACAGAGCAACGCTACAGCACAATAGAAAAGGAATTATTGGCAATAGTATGGGCTTGCAAATATTTCCGTCCTTATCTATTTGGCCGTAAATTCACGATAGTAACTGACCATCGCCCTCTAACTTGGCTTTTCAATCTAAAAGAACCCAATTCTAAATTAATCCGCTGGCGCTTGAAATTGGAAGAGTATGATTATAAAATTGTATATAAAAAAGGAACCTTAAATTCGAATGCGGACGCCTTGTCTAGAATACAACTTAACGTGCATGAATCGGAATCAGTAATTAATTATCCTGGTGATATAAATCGAGAATCCTTAGAATTCTTGAGAAATCTCGCAGAAAACCCGGAAACATACGAAACCAAAAACCAAACAAATCAGGTACCTAAAATTTTAATTCAGTCAGATATACAATTGAAACCACCCGAAGACACAACCGATCAAACACCACATTCCCTATCGAAAGAAGTAGCCAACGATGGAATTCCTATCCTAGATGAAATTATCAACAACAAAATATACCAAATTCTTGTTTTCGCTCATAATCATGATAAAATTTCACTCCTACATGAGACCTATGGAAATCACAAAATAATAACCGTTAAATTACCAATACACAATAATGAAAGAATGATTTTCGATTTCATGACAGAATATTTAAAACCAGATACTAATTATTATTTATACTTCGACAAAAAAGAGTTTATCCCAATTTTCAACAACGTCTATTCAGAAAATTTTGATAGAAAAATATTGAAATTAGTTCGTTGCACAAAATTAGTCAATACTATAAAAGATCAAGAAGAACAGATTCTAATGATAAAAAATCATCATGAAGGGAAGACGAACCATCGAGGTATCGAGGAAACGACCCAATACTTGAAAAGAAACTACTATTGGACAAATATGAAATCAACAGTAACACAGTTCATTAATTCATGTGAAATTTGTCAGAGAACAAAATATGCTCGACAAAATCCATATGTGCCACTTGTTCTAACTGAAACTCCATCAAAACCTTTTCAAACAGTTCATATCGATTCATTCTTTTTCGATTCCAAAATATATTTAACCCTGATAGATGCCTTCTCAAAATTCGGTCAAGCTCTTATAATTCCTGGAAAAACTGCTATTAACATATGCAATGCATTATTCAAATATTTCACATGTTTTGGTACTCCACAAAAAATCATAGTAGATAGTGGAAAAGAATTTAATAATGAGACTGTTAAAGAACTATTGAACCTTCATAAAGTAAAAATACATTTCACTACCCCAGGACATCACGAAGCTAACGGAATCGTGGAAAGATTTCATTCGACATTAATAGAGCAACTAAGAATATTGAAAGAAATCTACCCAAACGAATCAGACTTGATCAATTATGCCACATTAGGTTACAATAGTTCAATTCATAGCACAACAGGATTCACCCCATTCGAACTTGTTTTTGGACATACCGACTCTAGAAGCGCAGACGAAATTTTTGTACCTAAAGAAGTATTTTCCGCATATATTCAAGATCACAAACAAAAAATTCACCCTGTATATGACAAAGTGAAAGAAAAGCTTCAAACTCGAAAAGAAACCATCATATCTAAATCAAATATCAAAGGCGATGCAAACGACGAATTCAAATTAAATCAGAAGGTGTATAAGAAAAATCCGTTGAACAGAAATAAAAGAAATAATAAATTTTTAGGACCATATACTATAACTAGAATGTTAGAGCACAATAAAGTCGAAATAAAGAATAAGAAAGGCAAGACAGAAACCATCCACATTAAAGAACTAAGAAAACCCGTTTTGTTACAGGCTCAAAATGAAGAGACTGATACTCCTTCAGCTGATGACCGTGCTGGTCCAAGCTCACGAGATTAAACTGAAACAAATCACCAACTCACCCGGAATTCTCCCATTTAAATTAGGCCAATCTAAAATTATAACCAATAAACATGTATTTATCAATGAAATTGATCTGAAAATCATAGAAAACGAAATTAACAAATTAATTGAAAGCTATCGAAACCTCAAATATCTCACCGGTAACCAATCTAGATATTTTTATACCTTGAAGAATACCTATGAAAATTTGGAACCTATTATCAACGAAGTCACAAATAAATTCAATAATATATATTACCCAGTATATTCCAGAAATAGAAGAGGATTGATCAATGCAGGAGGAACAGTACAAAAGTTTCTTTTCGGTACACTCGATTCTTCAGACGGCGAAAGATACGATCGTGCTATTACAACTTTGAAAGAAAATCAACAAAAAATCGTCAAGGATGTCAATATACAAATTTCATTATCCAAACAATTAATCGGCCAATATTCGAAAGATATGGAAACAATTACTAATAATCAGAAGAAGATTTCCAAGTATATTTCTGATAACAAAGCTTCTTTAGAAAACATTTCAGACCAGTTCTCAAAATATGCAGTTTATACAAATATGTTGGATCAAATATTTCTGAATGCCAATATATTCGTTACTCTCTTGGACAACATAGAAAATGCCATTACTTTTGCAAAACTACATATTATTCATCCAGATATATTGCCATTTCAAAACTTGAAAAACATACTAACTGAATTGAGATTTCATAATGATCACAATACGATACTAGATGTTAATTATCACACTTGGTATTCTATTATGCACACAAACTGTTACTTCACTAAGGCTAAGATCATTTTTGCCATAGAAATTCCAATAATTCATCCGAAAACCTTTCAATATTTCCATTTATTTCCAATTCCAACCAATAATCAAACCTTAATTATCCCAAATAAACCTTATTTGGCTCTCGAACAAGAAAACTATCAGTACATGGACCATATCTGTACGAAAGTCGAAGACACCTTCCTTTGCGAGCAAGAAGGATTCAAGTTCAACCCTGTTGAAGACTGCATTTCCGCCCTCATCCAAGACAAGAGATCCCGATGTCTACAAATACCAGTAGAAATTCCATTATTGATATTCAATAAAGTAAATGAAGAGTATTTATTGATCATCAGCCGTGAAGAAATAAAGATTAAAACTCAATGCCCCGAAGAACAATTCCTCACCGTACAAGGCAACATTCTACTTCAGATTCCACTGAATTGCAGCGTCGAATACCAGTCAGTCAAATTCGAAAACAACCAGGCCACAAGTTTTGGTAGTCCCCTCGTATTACCAAAAATCATGAACGGTTCCACCCAAGTCGAAATAGTCCGGAGAAAACCACTCAGAATCGAAAACGTCCCATTAGAAGATATCCATCGGCTCCGGCAACACATCGAAGCAACCAATCAACTATCAATCGATGATTTCAATGACGACCAATCAATCAACTGGATGTTTTGGACTATAGTCGCAATAGCCATCCTCATATTGTTGACCTACATCACTCGCAGACTCCTGAAGTTGAAGAAGAAGCCCTCAGAAGCCCAAATCAAGATCGAAGATAATCATCAATCAGTCCGATCGCCTTCGGTCCTGTTCCAGCCCGAAGCCGTCTCTTAAGGGGGGAGGAGTTACATCGAGCGGTCCCACGGTACCGAGCTAGGTACAACACTTCCCAGGCCGTTTCCCGGAAAGCAGCGAGATCAGCAGATTCATATTTCGTCTCTCAAGATCAACCGACATTATAAATACATGTGTAATTCATTTTTCCGACGATTTTTGACCGTATACCTTGTCCAGATAACATAATAAACGTTTTTTAAAAAGTCTTTTGCCGGTTTTTCGAAAATAACTCGCTAATGCTGTTAAAATAGTGCATCTTCTTGTTCGTACACTCTACACTTCTTTTCGTACGATGTGAAATAAGGGCGGTAGACGAGGTTGAACCTTTCCTGACTAAAATACCTATACCTTTGATTTGACTGAACGGAATTCAGCAAACTTGGTCTCGTTCGAGAGAGTAATGTTTATTGATTATATTGAAGGATTACCAGTGCCATGCTGGTTCCAGCTGCACTCACTAGGGGGGCTAATTAAAACATTTCTGAATTTTTTGATTCCGCCCTGCGGCGCCCCTGGTATCAGTTCTAAGAAGGTGACGAGAAAAAATAAAGCGCCGCCATCGCGTCCTATCGCCGTCGGGCCGTCGCCTAAGTCGTTTCATAGCCGCCAGTACTGCTCTCTTGCGTCTTGCGCAAACTCAACTTACTGAATACCGACACCGACATCAAATAAACGTATACTCCGTTTCGATCAGTGATCCTACTTGATAAGAACTAATAGTAAGTGAATTATTATACAGTTTGGAAACCTATCTTAATGATGGAATAATATTTGTATCACCAATCACCATAATAGACATATATTTTGAAAAATTCTCGGTCAGGTCGATTTATATTTTTGAAAATCTATACCTGAATAAAACTATTCAACCACCTGTCAACCTCCTGCCTAACAGGTACAACCTTTGAGACAAGGTACAACTGAACTCTCCTTTTTATTGCAGAATTCTGAATGGATTGATCTGTAGGATTGGAGGTTGAAAGGGAATTGAACATTTTCATGTAAAAAAAATAATTTCGAAAATGAACCTGTCCGTGAATTTTTAAGCATATTTTTCTGTAATGGTGACACGTATGTTATTCCATCACAGGTTAATTCCATACTGTATGATCTCTGCAATAAAATTCTCAAGATCTCAAGATACAATTTCAAGACATTGATTAAGATAATATGGATTCCAAAGAAAAACAAGGATCGTATTGTGCGTCTAAAACTAAAAAGAAAAGTGGTGCTGAAAATGCGAAAATAAAGAAACAAAAGTTGATGGAGAAGGAGGCTTCTTCCTGTAAAAAAATTTCGGAACTGTTTGGAAACCCAACAAGCGTACAATCAGTGGTGGAGCTTGTAGAAGATAAAAGTTCAAAACTGACCGAACCTGTTTCAAATGTTCAATTGGGCTTTTCCGGTTTTTTGTCACAAAATGAGCGCACCGAAGATGAAGGTTGTCAAAAAAAACATGCAACAGATATTGACTATTCCTGCCCCGTTGCCCCCGTTCCCAGTACCAGCAGTGGAAATAAGGTTTCTGGAGAAATATATGTAGAAGATAGTAACGATGGCTTTTCACAAAATTTTTTTTATAAAAAACCGATGAACCTTCACGATTTAAGGGTTTTTTTGATGCATCACCCACATCAACCTGAAGCTGTGAAAGAGAAGTGGAACGCGAGATTAGTTTATAATAGAAAAGATCACAGCGAGAGGCGTTGGATCAGTTACAATACACAAGATAGGGCCCTTTACTGTTGGATATGTTTAGCATTTGGAAAAGAACAATCATCTTTTACACAGGGAGGCAATTGGGATGTCAAACATATTTATTTCAGGCTTGAGAAACATGAAAAATCTGTTGAACATATTAGGAATTCGGAGGCATATTTAATGCATGCAGTCAATAAAGACATCCATACAACATATTTATCAAAAGCAAGAGAAGAACGAATGAAACAAGTTAAAAAAAAATAGGCAAATTATGATTAGAATTATAGAAACTATCAAGACAATTGGCAAGAGAGGAATCAGTTTTCGAGGAACAGCTTCCAATGAGGCTGCTTATACTTTGGAAGACGAATCCTTGGACCATGGAAATTTTTTGGAGCTTCTTTCATTGATTGCTAAATTCGATCCACTGTTGAGAACCCACATTGATGATGCTATTGAAATTAGTAAGAAAATGCATGCGAAACCAGGATGCTCATCAGGAAGAGGTAATATCACAACATTCCTTCCCAAAACGACAGCAAAGAAGTTAATTGAGGGTGTAACAAAACTAATTAAAGATACGCTTTCTGAACAGATACAGAAAGCCGACATATTTTCCATTCAAATAGATACCACACAGGATATAAATGTTGTAGATCAATGTTCGGTTGTGGTTAGGTATGTATTCGATAATAAAGGCAAAGATATGTATGAAATGATATGCAATCTTCTTGAGTCAATGCATATAGATGTATCGAGATGTATAGGAAATTCAACTGATGGTGCTGCTAATATGCAGGGACAATATAATGGCTTTACAAAATGGTTATCTGATGATTCTCCAGGCCAAATACATGTATGGTGTTATGCACACGTTCTCAATTTGGTAATAGCAGACACTACCAACAAAACACCACCGTCAATTAGTCTATTTGGATTAATAAACAAATGTGCAGCTTTTGTTAGAGAATCTTACAAACGAATGGTAGTCTGGAAGAACGTCAGTGAAAATACTAAATTCATTAGTTTGATTGGTGAGACCAGGTGGTGGGCCAAAGATAAAGGTATTTCTAAATTGTTTAGTAAAGAAAATGGTGTTTTCGTTCATCTCTGTCAAGCCTTATACAATATTTCTGTATCTGATAACTTCAATGCTGAAACAAAATTTAATGCAAGCTCCTACTTGGATGGCTTTTTGAAATTTGAAACCATATTAACTGCATTACTATTTCAAAAGATCTTCAAGATAACAACACCTCTTTCCTTGTATCTTTGTTACGAGTTTAAAATGAGTTTCTCAATTGATATACCTTGCCAAATGAATTTGAATAGGTTTGCTATAATAATAACTTTAATGAAAGGTCATGGTGTGATACACTTTTTTTTGTAATAAACAGTTTTCCAAAAAAATCACTACACCTCGGTTACATAGACTGGTTTTCGTATATGTTATAGTTCTTTCAGGTGATCATAAATTTCACTACACATTCTTTTCACTACACATTCGTTGCATCGCTGTAGAGGCTGAAATTAGCAAGACTATCCATTTGTTGAGCACTTCTATAGATGTCCAGGTTTATCTAGTCTAGGAAGTTCTGTTGGTATCTTCTTGATTGTATTACTTGATGTTATTATTCATTCTTCATATGCACAAGCCCTGAAAAAAAGGGAAATAATTACTTCATCACCAGAACAAAAACAGTTTACTTAGAAATCGTGAAGTGAATAATAATTGAAGTACACTCACCTGATTTTAGTTTCTCCAACCATAGGTGTTTAGTTATTATTTCAGTGTGTTCAAACAATCAATTATTGAATTGTTATTTTTGATCGGGAAACTCTGTTTGATTAATTGTGTATGTCAGTTGTTGTTATATGTCAATCTTGTCAGCGTAGACATTCGTGACGTGGCAAAGACAGTACTAGCTCCCTCCATGGGCGTAGTGGTGTGTGGGTCGAGATCTGATATTTGTTGGCCTTGCTATCGTGATCAATCCTGCGTTTTTTGTGGAAATTATGATTTGACAATAATTTCACTTATATTTCCGTAAATATAAAAATTCAGTTTCTCGCATTTTCAGGCCAATTGGCGTGGTGGAATTAATTACAAAAAGGGTCATAGCGCATCCCAACTAACCCACCCATGTTCACGGGCTATCGATTTCATTCGTATTGCTTCGGTGCGATTTGAGGGATCGGTCGATATCATCGATCTGGTCAATTTGGTTTCCTCGCTCTCTTTTCCTTTTCTGCCGTGAAGGTAGGAATTTCGGCGATTCGCACAAAGTACATGATATGCCATCTTGATTGAGATTTTCTTTGGGATAGTGGTTTTATTTGAGAGAAGAAAATATACAGCATTGTGAGCTGGATTTGTACCAAGTGTTGGCAAAGGGATGAGATAATTGGAGAATATCTATCCTGTGAAAAACAGCGTTTGCTGGATTTATTTTTTGTTATGTGCAAAAGCTTCCATCACGTGGAGGTAAGTAACGCCGGTGTTCCAGAGCGGTACTCTGAAGCTACACAGTTGTATGATATAGCGTTGCGTGATTATTATCTTTTTTCTAGGCTTTTGATTTTCACCTTGAATTCTTGAGCAAAGAATTCAACGAATCTTGGTTTGAATGTGATATTGATTTCTGGCTGATCAGAAGTTGTTTCCGGAGTGAGAAGGTCGTTGATGTGGATTTTCCCTTACCCCCTTCATAGCCACAGTCCATCCCGGTACTCAGTAGGGACTATACTGTATTTCTTTTGGGGGGCCTAACAGTTACCACCTGGCTACCAAACACAGAATTTGTTCTTAAGACTCAGATAAGTACATACCTACTTTTATTTACCCTGGGTAGAGTACCATCACCATCTTGCTTGGGTGGCTCGAGGCGTGTGCCAGTTAATGACGTTAGATTTATTAGTTCATTGCGATTTAATCTAGCTAGTGATAGTTGGGGTTTTGGGGTGGATTAATCCATACTCCCTGTATATAGTTAAATAATTGATTACCACAAGTAGAGGTTGCATTCACACGTTATTTGTGAATACCTCCAAGAGTGTTGTGAAGGGATCATCTCTTCTTTTGGATTACTGATAAAATCAGTTCCTCGTGGAACTTATTAGTATTATTATTAAGTTTCTGTTGATTGTCATAGAGATAAGTACAGTGACAGGATTTAATGAAGACAATAATCAGGATTAAATTGAGTGTGCCTAATTCTTATAAGCCCAGACAGCTAATACTTTTCTTCCCCAGGTTAACCAGGTTTCTTTGTACTTCTGTACTTGTTAGTCGTCAAGGTCATCAACTCCTGTGAGCACTGATCGAGCTACTGGCGAAAGATGGGCCTGAGATGGAACCCCTAACATGTGACCCTGAGATGAGTTAAAATAATAATAATAATCACCTGGAAATATTAGATAGGTAACTACAGTTACCTAAGCACGTGAGTAGCTCGGCGGTAAACTGATGTCACATCTTCAAACCAAAGGTCTGGACTTATTACAGTGCTACAGAATGGTTGATAATGTCATAGAAAATCTAGAAAAGGAATAAAGAAATTTCGAAAACCTTTTACAGGAAACTGAAGAAAATATAAGGATAGTGAATGATAATTTCGAACATGAAAATATGCCTTTCAAAGTAAGGGAGGAACTTGCGACAGAAAGAATTCGCAGAAAGCGAACATTTCACGATGAAAATTGTGAAGATTATGTTCACACTGAGCCTAAGAATAAATATAGAGTTGAGGTTTATAATATCACACTTGACACAGTCATTGAGAGCTTGAGATCTAGATTTTCAGGCAATAAAAAACTTTACATGGATTTACAATGCTTGCACCCGTCAGGATTTGAAACTATTCATACAGTTCCCGATTCTGCTCTAGAAGAAATTGTGAAAAAGATGAGACCATATTTTAGTGATATCTGTAAGGAAGAATTACGAAGAGAATTGGAAGATTTTGCTTCAAAATGGAAACAGTTTTCCAAATCATTACAAGAGGAGTATGATGAAATGTCATCAACATTCGATGAAGAAACCTGTAATGCAGAAAGCTCTTGCAAGAATTGCGAAAACTGTTCATACTGCTGCTATAGAGTTCTTATTAGATATAATCTATATGCTGAAGCTTATCCGCAGCTATTGAAAGCCTATAAGTACCTTCTAACTTAATCAATAAGTCAGGTTAATTGCGAGAGGTCTTTTTCAAAATTGAAATATATTTTAAATCGATTACGTAATTCATTGAGTCAAAATAATGTAGAATCCTTCATGTTGATGTCTATGGAAAAGGACATTCTAGTATCAATCAAAAACGAAGATATCATTGACTATATCGCCAAAACAAGCAAAAATATGTCCTCTCTGCTTATTGGTTACTCACAGAATTTAATATATTTCTTTCATTTTTCCATATTATGAAACATTATTGATGATATGTTGATAAGTACCTGTTTATTTTAATTTTGTTATTTACTTTTCTCTCATCCTCATGTTACTGCTTTGAAGACTGATATACTGAATGGCGAAATAATGGAATAATGTGATTTTTATTTATAAATAATTTGGTTAACTTCTTTTTCCTATGTATGATGTGTATGTTGGTAGATAACTAGATAAAAAACTTTTTTTTACAGCAGAGTCAATTGTTAATTTTTATCTACGTTATTCGATGAGGATAGATATAGAGAATATATTTTTATATATATCTCAGACAATATTTTCATTTTGCGCCCTTTGATCCACAAAGCCCTCCAGGTTTTTCCTACCCAGTCCGCCCCTGATTCTACCCCAAAATCTTAAATAGAATGATATAATTATTTCATCAGTTTTGGAAAGTGAATAAAATTTGCAAGAATTTGATCCAAACCGCATGTTGATATCTTCATTCGTTCCAAAGTTATCTCCTAGAGAATATCAATTGATGAATTCATTGAAGAAATAATTAATTTTTTCATTAGCATCCAAAGTTCCGTGGTCAAGCATGCCATGCCATGCCAAAGAAGACAGTTGCAAACTTCAATCTCATAATAATGCCATATAAATGATAACAATAATGTAACAGGTAACATAACTAAAATTTAAAGAATATCAAAATTATGGAATATGCTTGTTTTCAGAAAATTATCGAGGAAGCAGATATTTCACAGATGTTCAAAGTGTCCACCGTTACTGATCACACATGAATTGAGTCTTTCAGTTGTGTGTAACTGTAATACCTACGCCGTCACCAAACGAAATGACAAAGCCGTCACCAAACGAG